TATATTATAATTTAGACTTTACATCTTACATCTGGCAATTCTGACTTTACATCTCACAATTCTGACTTTATATTATATATCGCAATTTAGACTTAATGTCTTGCAATTCTGACTTTACATCTCACAATTCTGACTTCAAGTCTCACAATTCTGACTTTAACGTCTCACAATTCTGACTATATTATAATTTAGACTTTACATCTTACATCTGGCAATTCTGACTTTACATCTCACAATTCTGACTTTACATCTAACAATTCTGACTATACATCTCGCAATGCTGACTTTATATCTCACAATTTAGACTTTGCATTTCACAATTCTGACTTTATATATCGCAATTTAGACTTAATGTCTTGCAATTCTGACTTTACATCTCACAATTCTGACTTCAAGTCTCACAATTCTGACTTTATATTATAATTTAGACTTTACATCTTACATCTCGCAATTCTGACTTTACATCTCACAATTCTGACTTTACATCTCACAATTCTGACTATATTATAATTTAGACTTTACATCTTACATCTCGCAATTCTGACTTTACATCTCACAATTCTGACTTTACATCTCACAATTCTGACTATATTATAATTTAGACTTTACATCTTACATCTCACAATTCTGACTTTACATCTCGCAATGCTGACTTTACATCTCACAATTTAGACTTTGCATTTCACAATTCTGACTTTATATATCGCAATTTAGACTTAATGTCTTGCAATTCTGACTTTACATCTCACAATTCTGACTTCAAATCTCACAATTCTGACTTTATATTATAATTTAGACTTTACATCTTACATCTAACAATTTTGATTTTACATCTCACACTTCTGACTTTACATCTCACAATTCTGACTTTACATCGAACAATTCTGACTTTACATCTTGCAATGCTGACTTTATATATCGCAATTCTGACTTTACATCTCACAATTCTGACTTCACGCCTCACAATTCTGACTTTATATTATAATTTAGACTTTACATCTTACATCTCGCAATTCTGACTTTACATCTCACAATTCTGACTTTACATCTAATAATTCTGACTTTATATTATAATTTAGACTTTACGTCTTGCAATTCTCACTTTTTGTCTCGCAATTCTGACTTTACTTCTCACAATTCTGACTTTACATCTAACAATTCTGACTTTACATCTAACAATTCTGACTTTATATTATAATCTAGACTTTACATCTTGCAATTCTGACTTTACATCTCGCAATTCTGACTTTACATCTAACAATTCTGACTTTATATTATAATTTAGACTTTACGTCTTGCAATTCTGACTTTACATCTCGCAATTCTGACTTTACTTCTCACAATTCTGACTTTACATCTCACAATTCTGACTTTATATTATAATTTAGACTTTACATCTTGCAATTCTCACTTTTTGTCCTGCAATTCTGACTTTACGTCTCGTAATTCTGACTTTACATCTCACAATTCTGATTTTACATCTCACAATTCTGATTTTACATCTCAAAATTGTGACTTTACGACTCGCAATTCTGACTTTACATCTCACATTTCAAGGTAAATGTTGAGTCTGACAACAAATTTAATACATATTTAAAAAAACATATTTCAATAAATATACTGTAACTGCACACCTTTCTGATACGCTCCATCATGCACGCACATGGTTAAGTCTTTTAAGTTTAACTGTGACTTGATTGATGATAAAACATTGTTTACAAAATAGAAAAAGCACATTAATTTCAGTTCATTATTTGTTTAATATATATACATGAGAGTACCGCGGTACATACCATGTGTGGTGTATCACGTTTTTTTTGCTTTGGTTTGAATATTTTTTTCAACCCTAGAAACTTCAAAAGAACAGTATTTATTTGGAATAAAATGGTCACTTTTGATCAATGTAATGTATCCTTGGTGTATAAAAGTATAAATTTCTTTAAAAAAACTGAAATATACAGTATAACTAATATTTAAATTATAACAATACAAAACATTTATTGAAACGAAACTGCAAAAATGGCTTGTTCAGAAATCATCACAACTACAAATTTGATTGTGTTGTTATCATTTCGCATGCAAAGGGAGCAGCCAATCATAAGACAGTTCATTTGCATATAGAAGGTAGAGTGAAACATTTTCCCTTTTGTGCACAAAACCTTAATAAAAAGAAAATTACAGGGCATAACCTCATGAATCTGAACATCCCGCTCCCGCTGTTTGTTTTTTTCCACAGTCTAAACAGTCCACAGCTACATTTCTCATGTTTTTTGCTCACATTCTCGCAGCTCTGATGTCCATTATTGATGTTGATATGTGACTCGCCTCAGAAACAGACGCCATTAGATCATTAATCAGTACATCCTGGTGATTTCATGCAGTTTCTCATTCTGCCAGTCTGTGTGAGTTTTGTCTGTATATGTTCTGGCTTACAATTTCTGTGGACCTGCTTGTGTGAACTTGCATCAGTTCAGTTAGTGTTGATGCTGCTGGCACCTCTGCTTTGCAATGAAACAGCTTAATAAACATATTAAGTAATGTCTTAAAATACAGAGAGCATAGCATGAGGGTTAGGGGACAGAACATATCATTAGTTCAGTATACAAAAAATAGAAGTCAATGCAAAGTCTCACCGTGATAGAAAAACAAAGCCGCTTGTGTTGATAGACTCATCGTCTTTTGGGATTTATGGATCGTTACACAAACTGATCATTCAACGGCTGATTAAAAGCCAATACATTTCAACCTGCAGTATGCTGTTAAATGACATCAGGGCCCTTTCCTGAACTCAGACTGATCCTAAATCAACATGACGTCTGAATTATTTGATTATAGTCAGAGATTAGTCTGTCTTTGATTGATGCAGATTTTAAGCCTATTTTAAAACTGTACTGTGGTTACTATGATATCACCAAAATATTATATTTAGTTACTACTGTAAAATCATAATAAAGTATTCTGCCTTATTCCAATAAACAAATAAATTAATTAATTCAATAATAATAATACTTAATTAATAAATAGAAATAGAAAACAAACATATTATATACAGTATATATATATATATATATATATATAAACCTAGATAACAAACAAAACAAAATTACTAAACTGACTGAAAAACATATATTTCGCCATTTTTTGCTGTCAGCTGAAAGAGAAAATAGGCTAAATATTTGGGGCTGAAAAGATGAAAAGAAACCTCAACTTTTGGACAAGAGAAACTTGGACATTGAGAAGATGCTGCAGGCATGTGACATGATCCAGGTTGAAACATACTGGATGTAACACAAATGGCTGCTGATTTCAAGCCGATGAGATGCACACACTCTGTCTAACGTGTGATGAGAGACTTTAGAATCACTGACAGCAGGTGTTGAGTCGAGTTTAACCCTCTTACCACTAAAACTCGGTCCTATGAGGGCACAAGCCGTCAAACTGACAAACGTGTGAGTGTTTGTTCTCATTCGAGACGTTTCTGTGTGTCGTCTGCCTCTCTGAGGATGAGACTGCAACCTGATCTCTCTCTCAGATACGTCTCATCAGAGTCAGCCTGCTGTATACACAAGCTCACGCTTAATAAACCCTCATGCGAAACTAATTTTCTGTCTATTTGTCCAATGCACTGAGGCCTTGGGATAGAGTTTCCAATCTAGGCCATTTTCAGCCGAGCCGAGCCGAGGGGGGAATATAGCCATTTCCCAGCGCTCGTGTTCTCTCTCTCTCTCTCACACACACACACACACACACAGGTTTGTTTTTGTGAAAAGTGACATCCCATAGGCGTAATGGTTTTTATACTGTACAAACTGTATGTGCTATTGCCCTACACCAACCCTACCCC